ACCAACAATAAACACAGACACACCAAATCTACTGCAATGGGTGAACCAACCCCCCCAATGAAATATGGCACTTGCTACAGACAAAAACGGGCAAGGGATTGGGTCACCTCGACAGCCCCCTGTTGAGCACGCAGCCCCGAGGGGACGGTACCCCCAGGACAGCCCCTGAGGAGCCGGTATGGACAGCAGGGGCCTTGTATCTCCCAGTGAAGACACGAAATCAGAAATGCAAGATGAACAGCATCTTTTTCAGCGGAATTAGTCACTTGGTTTGATTAGTTTTATGTAAAATTACATTAAATATTCGGACATTTCAGGCTTGTGTTTTCAGTTGGCGGATACTAAAGAACAGCAGAAATTCAGTGCACTTTGTAAACGCCTTGTTGCTTATGTTAAAAAAGAGTGATAAGCAATTTACTTCATCAGGTAATACATACAATCTCTGAAATATTCTGATATATACTATAAGGGCTTTTGTGTCTATGCCATACGCTTTCCTACCTTCACTGTGAAATGAAAGGACAGTTTATTCTTACTCGCTCTTTTCTTTCACCATTTTAAATAAAAGCAGTATCATTTCATTAATCCCTAAAGAAATCCCATCTGGTGTGCATGCCTTTCAATGCAGAACAGACAAGCGGCATGATAAAATTATAGCATCACCAGACTGTGGTCTCATAAATGAGAAACTTCATTTTAAGCAGGGGATGGTTCCATTTAGCCACAACAGCATGCTTACACGAGGCTGCTGTAATAGCTCGGAAAGAGACAGCTATTTCTCAGCACCAAATCACCAGTGAAGACACCAGAGCTCCAGCTCCGTAATATAGTTACAGTACAATTTGCTGCTCCCACTGAAATGAGAAAAATTACTTCCTTGGGAAAAAAGGGCAGGGGAGTTTCCAGGCAACCCATGGCCTGCCTTTCAGCCAAAGCCAGCAAACATGGGGATCGCAGAACCAGCCTTGGGCACTTGTTCATTACAAAACGAACTGAGATTAAAGCTGCTACCCTAAAGTAGGTAGGAAACTCCAGTGGTTTTTCTAGTGCAGTTTACCCTGGTTGGACCTAGGTGAAAGTGGAGGTGCTGGGTGCTCCGACCTTCCACAGTCTACGTGAGGACTAGAGTGTGCTCAGCACCTCCCAGAACCAACATCTACAAACACTTCTGGGTACATTTTTAATGTCTCCACCTTGACTTGACACAAGATTCTCCTTTGATTGTCAGATGAGCTGGCACTAATATTAAAATATAAGCTGAAATTAAATCAGTGCTTCACAGTCCTTAGCTAAACGACAGTGGGTTCTTGCACATATCACTTTACGTGCCAAGCACAACTTATAAGATTTCTGTAACAATTGGTTCAGACCCAGTGCTAAAAGGGCCAGCACTTTTTGATACATAAATCCTACAGTTTTCCTTTTATGAAGTGGTATAGGAGGTGAATGGAAGAGTACTTTATCTCTGATCTGCTTTTTTAGAAGAGAATCACAGAATTGTTTGTCTCATACTTTGTAGTTAGGCAGAGGAACCTGGTTTCAGCTGGGATAGAGTTAATTTTCTTCCAGGTAGCTGGCATAGTGCTGTGTTTTGGATTTAGTACTAGAAGAATGTTGATAACACACTGATGTTTTAGTTGTTGCTGGGTAGTGCTTAGACTGGCCAAGGACTTCTCAGCTCTCAGCTCTGCCAGGTGCATCAGAAGCTGGGAGGGGACATGGCCAGGATAGCTGACCCAAACTGACCAAAGGACTATTCCATACCATGTGATGTCATGCTCAGTATATAAGTTGGGGGAAGAAGAAGGAAGGTGGGGACATTCGGAGTGATGGCGTTTGTCTTCCCAAGTAATGGGGAATCCCGTTACGCATGATGGAGCCCTGCTTTCCTGGAGATGGCTGAGAACCTGCCTGCCCATGGGAAGTGGTGAATGAATTCCTTGCTTTGCTTTGCTTGCGCGCATGGCTTTTGCTTTCCCTATTAAACTGTCTTTATCTCAACCTCAGCGAGCAGCTGCATGGTGCTTAGTTGCCAGCCCAGGTTAAACCACGACAACTATTAACTGCAGTATCTTGGGGGCAAACTTCCCATGAACGCATGCTGCAGGCATACAGTCAGCTCACTGACGGTTTTGGCCAAGAACCCTTGGGAGGTTGGAGCAGCTTCTACCTTTTTTCACTTGAATGAGCTGCAAAAGTAACTCTTGGTGGCAGTGACGCAGGCTGCTGCCTGCAGAAACCTTGCCTGAACTCCACAGGTCGTGGCCACCTTTGCTAACAATGTGTGCCTGGCTTAGCAAGGCTTTAAAAACGCAAGAAATTCTGCCTGAACTGCCATTGTGGTGGCGGCAAATATGCTCTTAATAGGCACCTGAGTGGGTTTGCTTAGCTGCAAGCAGATGCACAGTAGTACCATGACAATCTCACTGCCTCCAGCAGATGCCATTCATGATGCTGGCATCAAGAGAATGTAAACCAGAGGAAAGCCCCCCAAAAGTGACAGATGCAAGCGTTTTCTTATAATCTACATTTGCCCCTTGCCTTGTCTGCGGGAGTTAACCGGGCCCAAGGCTTGTCGGCACGACGGTCGTAATCCGGAGAATCTGTGACCTCCACGTACTCGTTAAATCGAAGGATTCTTCTTGCTTGAAGTTCAGCCACTGTAGGCCTCAGGCTGAGCTGTAAGCAGGAGGCAGAAAATAGTACGTTTAATAAGATGAAATAAAATAAAAGCCGAGGGTATGATGTAATCTCAAGAGAACTTTAATGGTATTTCTAAATAGGGTCACTTTCAGGTGTCTAAAAAAAGGCACCATCCTGGGAGCGCTGCATGGGAATGGGGAAGCAGCACAGCCTAATTTCTTCAATTATAAAAATAGTCTTTGTTGGGCAGGTCACAGAGAATCGTGACAGTTATCCCTAGAATATTAATTGTGACTTTGCAGCTGTCACACCATTTACCCCACTAGGCAGTATGTCCATTAACGAAGACAGTCTGCTGCGTTCAACCATCATAGTTGAACATCTGGGGTCATTATGATGCCAAATCGTTCCCATCACCTCAAACAATAGTGACTTTAATTAATGAAGGACAATCATATTTAGGAAACTGTATTTTTGCAGAGAAGGGCAGGCTAGGGGTATGTATGAAAACTCCCCCCATCCTCTCCCAGAATGAGCTCCCAAAGTCAGGGCAGCAGATCCATGGCTGCTTTATTTCCAGGGACAACGAGTGCAATCCCACCTGCAGCGGCCAAGACCACTGGTGTGGTCAGAAGAACGGTGAAGGGGTTTCTTCGGGCCCACACTGCTCTGCTGCCCTCTCCGCTGCTCTGGGGAAGGGTGGATCTACACGTGTGGCTGCCCTCGAACACACCTGACAGCAGCGGTCGGGCTCACAGAGAAGACACATGCCACCTCTCTCCCCTGCTTATAGGGACAAACATTCAGCATGGCCAGACTCCGTATGCTTTTCCAGGTATGCAAAACCGGACAGGATGGAGTTTTCCCCCAAAATGGACTTGGCTTGCGCTGCTTTTTAAACAGATTTCTAATCTGGGGGCATGACTGATGGACATTTGCAGGAATGTACACACACTGATTTTTAGAATCTTATAAAACATAATCCTACATACACAAATACACAATATAAAAAAACCCACATCATCACCTTTCTACTGAGTCTACGTTTTATTTCTCTTTTGGCTTCCTGTTCCTCTTCTTCATTCTTCTCTGTTTTCAGAAGAGATAAAAAGAGTGAATATTTTATTATAACTGCACATACTGTATTTCTCTTGGTTTAAAGCTTCAGGACTTCAACTCCTGGTTCACGTTTCGTCATATTTCTGGGTGATCCTGCACGTGTTGTCTGCTTTTTGGATTTTGTGTGCTCTCATTCCTTTTCCCTACCCTCACTTCCCCCAATTCTGTAGACATCTCCAGTCACCAGTGTGGGTCAGGAACACAGCAAAGAGGAGGCATCTCTCATGCCCTTTCTGGGCAAGAAGTACAAACAAGAAGTACCCTGAAAGAGCTGCCTACTGTCTCAATTACTTGTCCTAACATTAAAATCACTGTTGCTTTTACTTCCAAAATGCCACCCATTGACTTTAGAGTAAGAGTCTAATTATTCATAAGGGTCAAGAAAAAAGTTTGCTCTGAGTATCTGGATCAGCCGAGTGTCCTCTACTGCTACAGGACGCAATGAATCAATGACAATTCATTTCACTGTCATTTGTTAGTGAAAATTGGGTTTGTTACTTTAATTTTTTTTTTTCTGATTTTATAATGCTGACATATGATTCAGCACTCAAGCCCTCTTGGGTAAGGGCCACTCGCTAGACCAAATGAACAAGTACAGCAGAAAATGACATGCATTTTTTGAATGTATTTAAGCATGAGACTGAAATGTGCTTTTAACAAACTTCTGTGCTAACCAAACTTGATTTCTTGAGTGACAGTGTAAAGCACGCGTACAGAGGCATGTTCATACGGACTCGGCAGTTTTTTTAATTGATATACATTTTGAAGAATATTGTATTCAGTCCACCTCTGGTGGCTACATCCAAAGTTAACTTTGTTGTGGCTGAAATATCCCACCTAGAGATACCCATGAAATTCTGATCCTGTTTCATTCATGGTTGGGGGTTATGGACTCCACGTTGCAGTTCAGGGCTAACTATAAATTTAAAGGAATGAATTTGTCTGTCGTGGATGCAGCCAACCTGTACAGATGAAAAGGTGGTTTTAAATCCCGGTACAGTCCGATTTGCCCTGTCTGCTATGGCCAGCCTGCTGTGTTAGTACAGACAACCTGGCCACAGAGGACCTTCTGTATCATGATGGATACACTGGAGACAACACTATGACAAGTCATCTCATGGTACCTGCAGATTTCTTTTGCTGACTCAAACGCTCTCACGTAAGAAGGGAAAGGGGAAGAGGAACAAATGATAAAAAACAAAAAGAAGAAAGTTACAGTAGGAAAAAGGTGACGCCAGCCCAAGACCTGCTCTGTGAGAAGAGTCCAACACCAACCCCAGGTTTCCACTGGCAAGATGCAAGTGCAGAGGCTTGCTTCCAGGATTAGGTTGGATCTAGTGTTGATGGTGATTTTCCTGAGATACTGAAATGTGAAAGTAATTTGTGGTTTATTAATAGTTTTTCTCTTAAATGGTGAAGAAATGGTTGGCTGGTTTCCATAGAGGAACTGTAAACTGAGTAAAACGGAAGAATGGAGAGTTAAAGTTCGATCGACCTTTTTGAAGTTTTTATTAATGTATATATAAATAAACAAGTTGGGTGTATTTAAGGATTTAAGACTTCAAATGAGGACTCTTTTTATAATATCTTCACCTAACAAAACCAAAAGCTCTCTAGATATTTTAGGACGGGTAAATCATCTGTAGGCTTTTGTTTAAACATACTACCTTTGCAATCAATAGACACAGTAACTGAAGTAATTAAACACAAACTATTAATTTGGGGTTCCATTCACCTGGGAATTGTATGACATTAAAAATGTTGACCCTTCATGAACTGAGTTGCTTAAGTCCTACCTCAGAAATTCTCCAGTAGCAGAAAAAAATGCAGCTGGATCTATACATCACTGTACTGCCTTTTCCGTAATTTAGTTTGTAAAATACATTCTGCATTATTCATATCTTGACATTTCTTTGCTATCTAAACTGCTGTGCCTCCTAAGAAGCAGCAATAAGATGCTTGACGGAAGAAATAGGGGCTCACGCTGTTTAATGCATAACTTAAGAAACAACCACCAACAGCATGGCCACCTGAAACACTCTTTTTCTATATTTTGGGGGAGGATAAAATAACTCAAAAAAAGTGGATCTGGACATTTAGGAAGGTTGAAGGTTAGCTGCCTGTCCCAAGCTGTGAAGCCACCTCCCTGCGGGCTGCGGAGCCAGAGTGCAGCTGACTGCACGAAGGGATGGCTGGGCATGGGGAACCACCTAGAAATGGGAGGTGAGCAAGGGCATCATCTCAGCAGCTGGGCAGAGGGTCCAGGAAGTTCCTGGAGGCAGCTGGTGAGGAGGGCTGGAAGCCCACCTTTCAGAGGACAGCTCTAACAGGAGGCACCAGGAGCTTCCTTCACTCCTGGGCAAAGCAGGTGGGGATCAAACCCGCGGGGGACAGGCAGTCTTCTGCATGAGAGATTGGGGGGCAGGAGGTGGTTTGTACATTCATGTGGTTTTGCTCCTAGGAATAAAACTTGAGAGCTAAAGGAAAGGGACTGAAATCTAGTGGCTGCTGCTAATACCTTGAATCCGCTGCCTGGCCAGCAGCCCTCCGTCCGTGGCACTGCCTCCTGCCTGAAGCACCCATTTCCCATCTCCAGCCTGCCGGGCAGAGCCTTGCTTTAAGCCCCGTGCTACAGAAACTCTGCCCTGACACAAACCCCTACCAACAGTAGCACCTGCAGCATATTTTTTTTGTCTTCTAAGGTAAAAGTTTTGCAAGTTGCTGTAGTGAGTTAAGAAGCTGTGTGGTGCTAAAAGTAATGGGTCTGGTGCTCCTGCTTCCTTCAGGTGCTGTGGAAAATTCCCGCTGGAGGGCCACGTTTTGGCTGCAGGTATGAACTGACTCGCTTGCCCAAACAGGAACACATTAATGCATAGGAACACACATCTGCCTTAAAAGCAGATCTAATCTGTGTGATGTGGAGAAAGAAAATATAAACGCAGCATTCCCAGCTGGAAGCCCCCTCCTCGGATGTCCCACTGCTGCCCTACTGGCAAAGGACCAGCCCAGCGAGTGCCCTTTGCTTGCAGGAGTCTCCAGTTAGATCCCAGCAAAACTCTCGTTTCCCTCCTTGCCTGCCTGCAGCTCCTAGGAGGTCAAAGTGGGATTTGACTCCTAATTGAAACAGTTTTGTTTAGTGTTACTTATCGTCGCCTTTGAGTTAAAAAAACCACTGGTCAAAGCAGAACAAGCAGCCTCCCTGGCCTCTATACATTAGTGCTCCTGCAACTTTTGCCACATTAGATCTGGTTGCTTTCTGTTCTGTGGGACATCGGTTTCGTAGCAGAAGGGGAAAAGAGAAGAGAGAAATTGTTCTCCCTGAGGACTGCTCCGTTATTGACCGGAAAGTACTCCCGGAGCGTAAAACTGAACTTTCCATTGTGCCCTATGGGATTAGCTATGTTTAGACAAAGCGCTTGCCTCTTGCAGTGCTCTGGAATGCACAAAGCCATTTCTCTTTCCTGGTTTTACAAGCAAAGATGACCATTAATATTGCTTAATGAGCATGAGAGCTAAACCCTGCTTTCCACAGAGGCGGGACTGACAGGCATGCAGGTGCACCGTACCAGAAGTTCACTGTCCCTTACAAATACAGGAAAAAATACAGCTATCTTAATCTGAAATTCGTGGAAGAAAAAGAAGTTTCTTTGCCATAAGGCAGTACTATAAATACTACTGGCTCAAAGCCAGTACAGAGGAAACCTGTCTTTATTAAAAACACAGGGCTTTATCTAGTCCTTCAAGTGGACTCTTGAGTTATCATAACTTTGTTTTAGTGTGGGAAGATTCAGAAGTCTGGATAGTTTTACCCAAATTGTTTTTATACAAATCTGCCTGCGATGTCTTGCGATCGTACTCGGCCACAGGATTTTCAGTAACGGGTTTATCTGGAAATATTATCAAAACAAAACTTCTTGCAGGACAGACTTCCTCCCTAACTGGAAATACAAAAAAAAAGAAAAAAATACAGACTTTTTCTGAACCTTTTAAATGATTTGGGCTGAACTTAATCCTGAAATAAACATTTAGACCTTTACCACTTAATGTAGCTTCAAAGTCTGATAAATATTACTCAAAACAATACTTCCCCTTAGCTGCAGCTTACATACACGCAATAATATAACCCCTTCTCCCCATCCCCTGCTTAAAAATAGGAGGAAGGAAGCTTTATGAAAGGAATCCCAACTTATTCACAAAAGCCGCCTACAACAACAAAGGCATTTAAGAGACGTAAACATTTTCGAATGATTGGCAGGAAGGGAATGTAATAATTTTGATAAATAATACAACTGCCTTAGCGCTGAGAGAGAGCTTGCCCCTGAAAGGGCTCCGAGTCAGACTGTCACCACAAACCCCGGCTTGCTTTGGTTTGCTTTGCTTTTTACTGTCAACTTGAAATATTTTATAGCTTGCTAATGAGCAAAAAGCAGTTTTGGATTCTCCACTTGCTCATCAATGACACTGCAATTTTTTTGTGATTTATGATGCTGCTTCCCAGCCTGGACTTCTTGCTCTCCCTTGCCTCCTTAAGACAGCCCCCTGGCAGCAGCATGAGAGGACGGCTGGAGGTACTGAGCACAAAGCCTGGTGCACGCTGCCGAAAGCTTAAAGTAAACAAGCCGAAACAGAAGAAATCTATTAACTGCTTGCCCATCTTGAGCTACTTATTGCAAAATCAGTGAACGGGATAAACAACGGCAAAAGGGATATTAAATACGCTGCAGGTTCGGTGCTAGATGAGTTACCTAGAGATTAGCCAGGCAGAGAGGGCAGTAAGAAAGCCCAGCTGGTGCTCCCAGCTCAGTGCCCATATCCTGGCCCACCAAAGATGTTTTGGAATGACCTTTCTCACGTAGTCCAGCATGAGCGGTTTGTCATATAAAAAAAAAGATCAGATTTCAAATTTTACCTTTATTTATGCAATTTATAGGTTCAGAAATTATAGTCTTAGAAAGTCTGTTCACATTATGTATCGGACAGGAGCCCCTTGAACCCTCTCCTGTGTACTACAATGCATGAACTGTAGCTTCCCTTTCCAGTAAGACATGGCACTATTTGGCTTTTGAGAACTTAAACAACAGCAGTAGGATTTCACTAGCACGGATGGCTGCCTGAAAGCCAGTAATTGCTACGTCTCCTTGATTTGCTGGCCTGAGCAGGTGACAGAGTGATCAGTCCATGGACTTTTGCCATGTAAACAGCCCATTTTCTTTTCTTCCATTAGCATGCTGTGCACCAGGGTTGCACAGATGAACTCCAACTTTTCTGAACGGTTGTTGGAAATAATGGCATTATACCTGCTCTTTCAGTTACATCCAGTGTGGAAGGTTCTTATACCCTAAGAATAGATGAATCTTTGGATTTGTTGCTACGTGTGAAATGCTTCCACATGCATTTTCTTCATTTATGTCTTCTACTTAAGCATCGAGTACTAGCTACCCTTGCAGAATGAGCACAGGGCTAGAGGAGTTGGGCATGACAACTGTTACAGTATGTGTTTAGGTAACATCACTATGATGGAAAGATTCATAAAGAAAGACAAAAAAATGCCTGTTCTGAAGCATTTGCCAGCCTAAGAACAAACCCAACATAAGTAAATGGGGGAATAGGTATAGAGGGTAAGCATCCAATGTACTTCATTCCTAGTGATCAGTCCATGGACTTTTGCCATGTAAACAGCCCATTTTCTTTTCTTCCATTAGCATGCTGTGCACCAGGGTTGCACAGATGAACTCCAACTTTTCTGAACGGTTGTTGGAAATAATGGCATTATACCTGCTCTTTCAGTTACATCCAGTGTGGAAGGTTCTTATACCCTAAGAATAGATGAATCTTTGGATTTGTTGCTACGTGTGAAATGCTTCCACATGCATTTTCTTCATTTATGTCTTCTACTTAAGCATCGAGTACTAGCTACCCTTGCAGAATGAGCACAGGGCTAGAGGAGTTGGGCATGACAACTGTTACAGTATGTGTTTAGGTAACATCACTATGATGGAAAGATTCATAAAGAAAGACAAAAAAATGCCTGTTCTGAAGCATTTGCCAGCCTAAGAACAAACCCAACATAAGTAAATGGGGGAATAGGTATAGAGGGTAAGCATCCAATGTACTTCATTCCTCTGCCTCTGACTGAATTATAGACTTAAATTTTTCAAGAGAGATACTGAGGAAGGATTTAATCAATGGGAAGATACTCAGTGAGAATGTTTCATACAAGTTTCAGTACAGAAGATGTCAGAAGTGGATATGAAGGCCAGTATGCTGAAGTGGTTGGCATATATCTATTCGCTTTCCCCTGAATGCTTCACCCCTCCTCCTTCTACTCCACCTTCCAACCTCTGCCCTTATATCCTCCCCCTCACAAAAATTAGGCGGAAGTTTCACCAGCCTAGAACTACTTCTAAGGGGTATCTAAGTCATTCCTGGTCTTTGGGGCCGGCTTCAAGAAGTGGGATTGAGACAAGCAAAATTCAGCATCTTGAATATATGCAATTTTCACAGCTACTGTTACAGGTTAGTATATAGATCTAGTGTTGACATGTTATTTTTGAGAACATAATTTCTCTCCAGTTATGGCTCTAACACAGGAGCAACAGTGACAGGCTTCCACATGAATCCAACATACGCTCACTTTCTACGTAAATACTAGCTGAAACCTGAATAAAATACTTACGTTTTAAGATATTTCTTTGCTCTAGCTCTTCAGTTGTAGGCCTCTGGCTGAGTCTCCTGGGAGAACAAAGTAAATGACCGATTGAAAACGAGATCCAAATAACACAGTATGATTCGTAATACAGCTTAAAAGGTATTTCTCATATGGTCATGCTATTCTTTGCCAGCAGAGGTATTCAATAACACAGGCAATTTCCAGACACAGTTTTAATAACTGTGCGTGTAAGCACAATACTGAGTAGCCATTTATTTTAAAAGATGTACTATTGCCACTCAAGCACAGAAATAACTGATATTTGCATAATATCACAGGAATTTTGCCAGCAAATTTAAATTCCTTGCTTACAGGTAGAGTTTTATGAAAGAGTTCATAAACCTTTTTTGTCCTCAAGCACCATAATTATGTTAAGTTGTGCAATTGTATGATTATTCTCAGATATTTTGAATACAAGTCCTATTCATTATTTTTTTGAAAACCCCTGCAATATAAGCTGTGCATTCGTCATTGATTTGTATGTACAACACAGCTGGGAGTTTTAATTGAAAGTTAACTTCATTTAGTTACCTACATATAACAACTGCCATAAAAAAAACCCTGAGATATTAATTTTCTGGTTTGTACAGTGGAGAACATGGTTGATATTGTCTCTATGTTTACTAAACAGGTTCACTCATTCACTTGAGAAAAGGAGCAATAAGGATTTCAGCAGTAAAATTAATTTTGCAGATGTGTTAGAGGTCTCTCTATGTCCAGCAAACCTCACACAGTTCACTGCAGATTATCTTTGGCCTCATGAAACCCACCTCATTCAAACCACTCTCGGACTTTCAGCTTTGGCGGGGAGGACCAGCAGGTTTACCCCAAGCGACCAGCCCCTGATGTAGGAAGTCCCAGGCTGGGACCTGACCCGACCCTGACCAAACTGTGGGAACAGGTTTCCCATCAGACCTCAATGCTGCTGGGTGCTGACCACCATGCCAGGCATTTTTAAGGAACTGGTGTCAAAGTTGGTTGTGATTTCAGGCATGAGCACAGTCCTGACACGCATGGGTATTGTCCCCTGCCACCGAGGCAGAGCTGCATGGGGAGCGTGCACGCTTCCCAGCAGAACCAGCAGCTCTCCCTGTGCAAGGAGCTCAGGATGGGAACTGGAGCAGCTTCTACAGTTCAAGCCCCCAAGGGAGCGCCAACAAGCAGGATGCGATCACTGGAGCTGGGATTCGGTCAGGAAAGCGATGATAACAACCATGCCGCTCTGTTAGCAGAAGAAAAATGATCCTTGGGCTTTACACAAGAGATGTATCACTCTTACAATGAAGGGATGAAATAAATGACTCAGCCAGCCACCTGCTTCACAGAGCAACTCAGCTCATCTTCCAAGTGCTGATGCAGGACTGCTGTACTGGAGCAGCACCAGCTGGGCTACCCGATACCTGGAAATCTCCAACAAACACAGAACAGGCTCCAAATCCGCCTGAACAACATTTCTGAGCACAAGAGAAACAAGGACAGGTCTGGGAAAATCCAGACATGTTGTAGGCTATTCTCAGAGACCCTGAAAGCCAAAATTAACATTTATGAGGAATTTTTTTTAAAAGCTTTTAAAAACGCAAGTGAAAATTAGTCTTTTTCATGCGATGTTCTTAAGTCCAGGATGAGAAAGTTAACATATATCCCATAGCAGTCCATCAGCATGAGAAACACATGCTTCAGAGGTGAGGACAGGAAAACACTAAACACTGAGCTACAAAGTCAGCCTCCATGCACTTCTTTTGCTGGAACTAGCACATGAGCAATGAAGGAGTCAGAGAGCAGGAGGAGGATGGGGAGGGCCAGGAGGGATGAACATGCACAGGCATGCTCTGTGCATCAGGAACTACTGCGCTGTCTGAGATGGGGATATACATGTGCAAGTCCCTGCTAACCAATGTGAGAAAAAGCTTGAACCGTGGCACTGATCATTCTGCAGTCACTCTTATTCGCTTCCTCTTTTTTTTTTTTAAAAAAAGACCAAACAACCCCAAAACCCAGAAGCTCTCAGATTTGTTTCTTACAGAACAAAAGTGCATTACTGACATTTGAAATTTTTTTTGAGAAATAAAAATACTGTTTTCCAGGCAGTTGTACCACAAAGATCCTGCACCACACATTGGGCTGCATTTAAAACGTGAACCCAATGTTCTTGATTCTCTTCCTCCACCTCCACCCAGCGAAACCACATTCACCCTGCCACTGATACCTCACTAGCTTCGTTCCAATCTGATGTCTGATTTCCTGCCTCTCCTCTTCAGATGTGCGCTGCAAGATGTTTTTGTCTTCTAATTCTTTCTTAGATGGTCTGTTGCCAAGTTTGATAGCAAGAGTATCCCTGCGACGAATTTTACTTGCCAAAGAGCCTGAGGAACGGAGAGGGAGGGTAGATTTAGTTCATTCATGCTTAGGTTACAGGCACAAACTCCGAGTAAGAACTTTAATACCTTCCCAAAGCAGCCTTGTTCCCACATGAAGGAGAGGAATTTTAATAAACATCAAAAGAAAAATAGTTTTAGCCCAGTTCACAACAATAAAAAGCTGAAAGGCTTGGATGAAAAAGCTACCAGACAAATTGATAGAGAAGATTTACAAACATCACTTGTCATCTGTGAAGTGATCAGTTAAAAATGACAAATCTTCACTTAAGCGTCTTTGAAGTCTGATACATTACACGTTGGTTTATTTATCTACTTAGTATATTTAGCAACCTGCTGCTCTTTTTCTTCAGCCTTAAGGTTTAGTCTCGTTCTCTCACCTTTTCCCCCATTCCTTCAATATTTTTTTCAATCTAATACCACTTAGCTCTTGTACAGTGCTTTTCATCTTTAAATAATTTGTAAATTAAAACAAAAAATAGAGTTTAGAAAAGTGCTGAGAGTGCTTGCAAAGTGACTTTGGCAGGAACCCCCAGGCACTGAAGCAATCTGTTTATCCATCAAATAGATACCATAGGGGCAAGGGCCGTGCAATTTTGCCAGTGTTAGCTTCAGCCAGCTGCGGAAGGAAGAGTATTTTCCATGGCCTTTAGTCCTTCCCTTGTCTCTTGATATTCTGACCGAGGGGGCTACATACGTCCTAGGTTGGCAGGTTTTCATGATGTTAGACAGTTTGGTAAGACCACAGGCTCCCAGCTCACTTCTCATACGGCATCATGATGCTGTCTGAATACATGAATTTTTGGTTCCTACAATTTTGGATCATATTCAAACCAAAAGCAGAACTTCACCTTCTGCTGCACCAGTGTCCAAGGAAAAAAAGAAAAAGCTCATTTTCCCTCGCTCTCCTTCAGTACACAACACTTCTGTGTTCTGGCCTTCTTCACTAAGCACAGCGAAGCACCTCCTCCTCAACGGCTGCGGGCAAGGCTCTCAAGCCATGGTTTGATGGTCATTTTATTCTGACATAAGGCCATCCTGCAGGTGGTGGGGGTAGGGTTTCCCTCCTCTCTACCCCTGACAGGTTGTTGCTGCCACCTCCTTTGCTCCAGCAAAGGTGCAACCACGTGGTGAGCCGGCTCAGGGAACCAACTCTACCGAAAATCAGCTACCATGGCAAAACCAAACATGAGCGCTGGCCAAAAGGAAAAAAAAAAAACAGCTGGGAACAGGGATGGGGCTAGGAGTGGGCAGCACAACCCCCCTCAGCAGCAGCAAGGACTTCTGCCAAATGATATATGGTGATGATACAGCCATGACCCCAGGTGAAATTTCAAAACTGCAGGTTTAGAAGTAATCTACTGTGATCTGCTCTGTCTGCCAAGGTGCTCCAATGCTTAAAAACACCCTGATCAAAGAGGAACAAATGACTTTTAGAGAGTGAAGCTGCTGACTGACAGGCCTCCTCTGTTGTCCACCCCTGCCTGTTAGTCCCACAAGAAACTCTGGGATTTCTAGTGCAGTTCAGTTGAAAGCTACATTGATGCTTTAACAGTAGAGGTTTATGACATGGGCAAGCCAAATCAATGGCTCACTGATGCCCTAATGTGCAGGGCTTATTCCATCCTCATGTTCTCCTGAACTTCTCTCTTCCCACCTCCACTCCCATCTGCGCAATACCTGATATGCTTCCATCATTGCACGGGCCCCAGCAGGTTTCTGATGACAATTGTCTGGGAGAAGTGGGACACTAATTTCTCAGCAGTGGTAAAACATTAAATCATCTAAAACCATACCATGCAGCCATACCCTCCTCTCTTTACTTTGAACTAGCATGGGTCAGGCATGCTCACATAACACAATGTGCAAAGGTAGCCTGCAACTTCTTGGTGGGATGCCCTGCCAGAGAACCATATCCTGGAACAGAATCACCCACGGACTGATGTGCTTGCTAGCAGCTCCATCCCAAAGTCTTTGCTCTCCTGAAGGCCACAATTTAATGGAGGCAGCTGCACAAAACCTCTCTGGGTGTAGATGTCTTCGGACTACACTCAACCAGTAAGCTCCAGTTAGCAATCTGGATGCAATCACAGCAGCTCAGGAGGCTCTCTGAGCCAGCCTGGCCAAACATGCGTATTGGATATATCCAAAGGTGGCCATCCCTTCCCAGTATACCCTTCTTGTCAGGGGCTTACTTTCAGCACTTGCATTATCATCATCGTCATCATCATCATCATCATCTGTGTACAGTATCGGTCCGTCAGAGTCTGAGTCGCTGCTGTGGCTCTCTCTGCTACTTTCACTCTCAGGAGGGGCAGCACCGTCAGAAGCCTCCTCCACCAGTTCAGAGTGTGCCTGGTCAGGTGCCTCCACTTCTTGGCCTTCTTTGGTAGCCAAGCTGTTGATTCACAAGCAGACATGGTGTCACATTAACGCAAGCAGCACAGAACACAAATGGGAGACAGTCTGTATAAGCAAGTATGAGAACAAAAGTTCTGTTACTCAAACTAACTTCTTTCTAAAAAAATACATATATAGAACATATATAAAATACGCATATGTGAGAGAGTTGGGGCTGTTCAGCCTGGAGAAGAGAAGGCTGTGGGAAGGCTTGTTGCCACCTTTCAGTACTTAAAGGGAGCCTATAGGAAAGATGGGGACAAACTTTTTAGCAGGGCTGGTTGTGACAGGACAAGGGGTAATGGTTGTAAACTAAAACAGGGCAGTTTTAGAGTAGATACAAAAAAGAAATTCTGTACAATGAAGGTGGTGAAACACTGGAACAGGTCGCCCAGAGAGGTGGTGGAGGCCCCATCCCTGGAAACATTCCTTGAATGGCCAGGTTGGACGGGGCTCTGAGCAACCTGATCCAGTTAGTGGTGTCCCTGCTCACTGCAGGGGGGTTGGGCTAGATGGCCTCTAAAGGTCCCTTCCAACCCAAAACATTCTATGATTCCATGTGTCTGTATGTATGTATGCTAGGAGAAAGGATGCAAACAGTCTGGAATGACATACTGCAAAGCCTGTATGAAGAAAAAATCCTAATTCTTTTTTTATTTCTTGTGGGATGGGACCAACTGTACATAAAAGCTACTAAGAAGATAAAAACAGCTCATAAAGTTGGGGGTGAGAGGAGCGAGCTGGAGAGTGGAGGGGAGTGCAAAGCTTCCTGTTCTGGAAGCCTAACTCCATTGCAAATACAGTTTTACTGCTGTTGAGTCCAAAGTGTTCATGTTCGTCACTGATGAACATGGAATCATCAGCAGAGTGCTCTCCACCTTGGAAAATCTTTATGTAAAGGAAGGGTAGAGCAAGTGGAGAAGTAGCATGGGACCGTACTGCTGGCACAGAGATACCAGCAAGAATTTAAAGTAAAGTCTCTAAACTCTCGAGGGTTGTTATGAAAGATGCTCATTCTCATGGCAGGGAAAAGACAGATTAATAAGCCAGTTTCTTTTTTGCTGGCAACTATTTTATTTAAAAAATGTAGTTATGACCTTGCTCTTGCCTAGATTTTATAGTACCTGAGACTTAGACAAACTATTAGGCACCGATAGACCAAACACCTACTAACCAAAGCCTGAAACTGTCATTTTCAGCTCTGCAAGTAAATTCAGCTATTGAATCGAGAGCTTTAGCAGTGAGATATTTAATGATATCGAGGAAAAAAGTAAAACCCCCTGGTAATTCAGCATCATTTCTTCTTTGCCTTTGAGAGAGAGAAACAAAAGTGTTATCAGCTACCAGCTGAGCTGCTGACTGCAGTGGTCACATTAAGCCACGCAACAATGCAGGAGGCAGGTTATGAGCAATGACCTGGGGCAACATGAGGTACTGCAGGCACATGGCTCAAAGGCATTGGCAAAGAACAAATTGTGCTGGGATGCCACACTGCCCTGGGCCTCCAAGGAATGTACACACACTGTTACCAGTCTGCAAAAGAAACAGAAGTGTCCCTTACGAGCAGAAATGTGGCTTCCTTGGCTGTGGGTCTTTACCCCTTACCCATGACAGCCATACCACCTTACCTTTTTGCGTCTTCTCCATGAGCATCTGGACCGCTGTCTAGGGCCATACTGCTCAGGCTCTCGTCTGTGCCATGCTCCGCCTGGAGAAGAGGTTTAGTATCTGACCCGGGGACGGCCAACCCTGCCATGCCACCGTCTGACACGTCTTGGGCATCTGAGGAGAGAGCAGGCTCACCGGCTGCAGCAGGGAAAGGAGGTGGAAGTGGAGGTGGAGGAGGGGCAGCGGTGGGAGGAGGGGGGACGACCAGCTTGCTCGGTTGGTCTGCGTCCTCTGTTTCAGAAATGACAATGGAGGGTTGCTCAGGCTCGGGTTTTTCTGCCTTCGCTTCCAACCTGTTGGCTGCGGCACCTGAGGGGGAAGAAGCAGCCCCATCCGGCGCTGTTCGTGGGCCTGACTGTTTCCCAGGTTTCTTTTTGCCCCTGGGAGTCCCCGATGTGCCTGATTTGCTGGAAGTCTCCTTAGAGGCTTTGGGATGAGATGATGTGGACGAAGGAGATGGTGATGAAGAGGACTTGGAGACTGGTGGTTTTTTTGCATGAGAGGAACTAGCTAAAATAAGAAAAAAGAAAGCATTTTACAGTCTTGCAACCATATGATTTTTGCATCATTCTTTCTGCATGGATTGACATGTGCCGATATTTTAAGAACGAAAAAATTACACTTGATACTTCTACAATCCTTCATCTATATGCTTAAGACAAGTAAATGTTGCAGTTCAAATCTCACCTTTGAGGTGGGAAAAACGGAAATGATGAATACTTGCCCAAGAACAGCAGAGGGGATCAACCTCACAAGCAGTGAGAGTTTCATTCTAGTATTCTGCATTGGCCCACTACAACTTGCCTGGACATCGTCTGAAAAGTCCACTACTTATTCCAAATGTGTTTAGTGCTCTATTTAAAAAAATTGCTACGAGACAGAGAAAACTGCTCAACCTTTTCTACTTTGTGAATTTTTGGTCTAAGCACTAGGAGAAGACCGTGATTTTCCTTATGCTTTTCAATGAGCACTTCAGGACCATTATGGGTATCACTTAATTACCTTTCAGAATGTCATTCCAAGTGGTGTGCTCCTAGTTAATGGCAAGCAGCAGAGGACAGCAAAACAAGATGTGCTTTCAGGTCCAGCTGTGCACGTCCATAAAATAAGAGGCAGAAACCACTGAGCTCACTCTGCGCAACCCATCTCCAGAAGGGAGGAGGCACTGAAGGCCTCCTCTATATACTGGAGGTCTTCGTCTTACCAGTGACCAACTCAGGTAGCCTTGAAAATGTAGTGACACAACGTTTTGACACCAGTTGTACAAGCTGACCAGTGATGTTGCTGTTTAATCCTGTGACACTTACTGTATTGAAGCATGTATGCATCAATGCCCAAGTTTGCAAGAGATTTCAGCTAGCCTGCATGCCCATGTGCATTCCAGTCACATTTCTGGTTGCTGTGCTGATGCACCCATCATCTGGACTGGGAGCTTCAGACTGCTGACTTTCATTTAAAAAGCAATAAAAATGACAACCATCTTAACGATTCAGTCCTTTTCATCCAAATGCATCCAACTCAAACACTTCTGCTGTAGGAAAAACACATTAACCTCAAGAGAACAAATGAAACCATTATAAAGCTTCACAGCAGCCTTGCGGCTAAGCTTACCGAGTAAGACAGAAAGCTGTAATAGAAATCTGCTGAAAGGCCTACTTTACTATAAGCATTCAAATAACAACAAAACCCCAGCAGATTAGGAGAACCAAAATACAGATACGGGCCATAATAAGCTCACGATGTAAAAATGGCTTTCACAGTGAGACTGTTCTCAGTCTCAAAGAAGATGGAAAATGATTCAGAAGACACATTATACTGTTCTCTTCTGTCGATGAACGTTATGGTTTATAAACATTTAGAGTGCTGTGAGGCTTTCAGTACATCTGGAAAAATCCACGGAAACTCATGACTTCAGGCACATCACTGCCCCTCTTGGTGCTGCACGGTAAGCGTGAAGGGCACAGTACAGAATCTACTGGTGTTGCACTAATCACCCACATCAACTACAAATCACTGACTTAACTTACCGCCAAATCAAAAGGAAGCAAAGAAATGGTACAGGCAGCCGTTTGTAATTGCAGTGGAAATAGATGGTGGCTCCAGCCTGCGTATTACTTAGCAGAAACCTTACTGGGTAGGTGGATGGTGGTAAGCAAGGGCTCTGGTTCTGATCCAGCAAAGCACTTAAGCACAGCTTGGAGGTCAACAGAACCAGTTACATGCTTAGACTTAAGAACACCAGCATAATGCAAATATACAGCCACACTAAAACTGTTGCTGGGAAAATGTCAAAAGATATTTCCATTGAAAAAACCCTTACATTCTTCTCAGAACCTTTCTGGACCTGCAATCAGATACAGCAACTTGAAAGATTTCTCCCAGGGAAAATCCTCCCTACACTTTCATGTGGGTCAAAAGTGCTATTGCTATTGTTGCTTTTGCTGGGCTGGCTGGCAATTTTCTGTCCTGCCTCTTTTTCAGTAGATTAGAATTTTGTTTAAACGAAAAATTTCATGGCTGTTACTTGCCTTTTAGCACATATCCATGCTTAACTTTAAGTTTCTCCTTCTCCCACCTTTGCTATTTCAGTTTGGAAACCTGCTGTAGTGCCCTCAGGAGAGCCATGGCTCAGCTGTTACTCAAATTCTTCTTCATGGGATTCACTGGATCACTGACTGCATCATGTGTTCGCTTTCACAGGGATCTGATAAACCTCCTGTACTAAATACTGCTCCCGATCAGCTCTATTTAAAAGTATTGCCCTACTTCAAATGAACACAATGTACCTAATGTTGGAAGAAATTACCAATAGAATATGTATTATTTTATATAAGAATAATATATATAACCATATATATATATAACATAAGAATATGTATTATTTTATATGAGGGGTATATTGATCTATTTTATACCTGTATGGTCTCAAGCATTGCATAAAATTTCAGCAAGGCTACTAAAAGATAAGTGTGGAATCTGAATGTATTTTAAGAACTGAGACACCTGAGAGCTTGTTACCAACCATCGGTCTAAACACTTCTTTATGCAATGGGTTGTTTTATTTCTGAAAGGTCTGCTGTTACAAGGTTCCTTCACCTGGGAAGAACTGAGTTTTCCAGCTGAATGTGAAGTACAAGCAGCAAATCCTGGGTTTTCAAAATATTTATTCTTATGGTTGTCTGATGTAGTAAGGACAGTTAATACCAAGTTAATGGATATTTTATGGCAAAGTTATTATTGTAACTCTAGCAGTCTTGCAATGTTTTCAAACAGACCTTTTCTGTGTGCTTCAAATATAAAATGTGCCAAAATGTACAAGCTATGAAGAGGTATACTTGGAGAGAAAACTGGAGGGACTGAAGGGCTTTAAAAGATTGACAGAGGATTGAAAACACAAGGCTTGTGTAAGTTGGCCAATGCATATATACAGTCCATTCATCATAATATTGCTTGTGTTCAAGTTATATTTGGATGTTTTCATTTTGGTCATTATCTAAATTACAAGCACTCAAACTCGAGATCAGTACCTTAAGAACAGCTACTTATAATCTTTAATCTAGCATCACCGCTGAATTTCGGTTTGCCAGTGTAGTGATAAACACATCTGCTATGTGCCCGATGATGGACGTTTTCCATTTCCAGTGCATATTTAGAATCACAGTAAGCCATCAACCAGCTCAGGGAAGCCTGGCAATGTCTAATGAGCTAAAATTCTTTTTTCTTTTTTTTTTTTTTTCCCCCAGCTAAAACAACTGCTACTCAACAATCTTTAAAGATGTCTTCATGGTTTTATCCTTTACCGCTCTGAGATCTTGTAACCTTGTCAAATTAGAATAGTAGATATTTCCAGCAGAAAGTTAGAGCAATACCAAGGTTATTTTACTTTGGGGCAACTCATATGTTTGGTTTCAGAAGTCACCTTTTTCCTTGCTGATTCTTTCAGCAGTTCTCTGGGTCATTTTGTTGCCAGCATTCACACTTGAGCTGGGAATTCAATATAGTCTCCGATGTGCCTGGTGTGGTGCATACATTCATTGAACAGCAAAGTGATTTGTCCGCTGTCTGGGGCGTTTGCAGACAGCAGAGCCAGAGCTCAGTGGGAGGCTAGCTAAAACCATCCGTGGCATGCTCTTTAATAACGCTGCTATGTACAAAGGCAGAAGTTATCGTAAGACCAAGCCAAGCACCCCCATGCACATGCACCCACCGTAACTGGCACTGCCTGGGCAGTACTCACCAGCATCTCGATTTGCACTGTGACTTGTTGGCTTGGGCGGTGGGAGAGGAGGCTGCTTAGCAGGAGCCTTTCCCTTTTTTTTAGCATGAGGTGCTTCGTTACTCTTATGGCTGGTGGTAGTGGAAGCAGCAATAGCATTTTTTGGTGGTAGCGGAGCTTTTTTAGATTTAGGCTTAGGCTTGGGTGGTGGTGGTGGAGCATGGGATGCCGGTATTTCTGGGCAGTGATCGGTAGTGCTCTCTATGGATAAGAAAGTGAACAGAAGCCAACTGACACAGACATACGCCACGTACATTCAACACCACGCCTGGCAAAAATGACTATTTTTTGCTGCTTGAGCTCTTGGGAATCAGGAGAGTCTTCTTCATTTTTGACTTCTTACTGAAGTGTATCTCAGAAAAAAATTACCGTCTGTCTCAATTCAAGTCCTTCTCATGAAGATTTTTGCCCAGCACCTCTCTCAGTCTCATCTATTCTAGGCCTCCAAGGATCATCCTTAACATTTGGTATCCCCAACTAGACTGCTGGCTGCAAACTAAACAAGGAAAATGCCATTTACTGCTCTAACAAATTCCCTCGGCTTCTTTTCAGTCCTCTGAGATCAACAGGCTATAAAACTCAGATTCATGTGAATCTGAATGTGAACAGGGCCATTCTCTCAGCCACAGGTTCAAATATGGCTATGCAGCTGAAATTTTCCCCTGAAGCAACCCATTCTCCTAAGCTGCAGAGTGCTTGCTCACAGCAACTTTATTTTAGGTACCTTCCCCAGGGTATTTCTACTCTTCAGAAAGAGATGAAGCTAAATCAGATAGGATATCATTTGCCATGGGAATGCTCTCCTCTCCTGCAAGCTCTTTGGGTAATGTTACAAGACTGAACTTGCAAGAACCAGCAGTTTCTCAGTCAACGGGAATTTGGACTGTATCGACATTGTTATCATGCGATAGCAATGGCTCTGTAGAATGAAAGAGGTAGCACTGAGGATCCAATGTCCACAATGTACATTTCAGGAGACTTGACTTTAGACTAGCTTCAGGCTAGTTCTGTAGCCTGCATGCCCAGTAGTGGTGGGAGCACAAGTTCCTGAATGTATCTTTTGGCTTAGTTTCAGCCAAAGGAAACCTGGCTTGTGTGCTCTACAAACCAAAGAAGGGTAAGTGGGGATGACCAGGAAATTCACTTAAAAAGTGCACGCCTAATGGCAACTGTAATGTTAATGTAGGTGAGCCATTTATAGTCAACATACAATTTTTCAACATAATTGCTATGGTTGTAAGACTAGCTGTTCCCAGATGGGAATCTTTACCTATTCAATGACACCAACTCTGTGCCCATTTGGTGTCAAGAGAGCCTTCCCAAACCATCCAGAAAAAGGATATTATAAAAGCAAGAGCATACATACCATCAGAATCATATGGGCTTTATTTGCATGTTACTAAAAACCACAGTGGTTGGGGAAGAAAGGAGGCAAGCAAATATTGCAAGGACTTCTAACAGTCTCTCTTATCACTCGAGAGGAAACCAATTAATTTCTTGCAGTATGTTCCTATTAGAGCCTCAGTCTTACACACACTAAATGGCTGCTCCGGGATCTCCCGTCCATTCCCCACTCTCTTCCTTTGCATGTAGAAGATTCCCAAGAGATAAGCAGCACCTTTTCATTTTAAGATTAGTAGATGAAAAACAAATAATGTGTTGGACAACAACAACATTCTTCATCTCAGAAACAAAGCCTTTTCAATCTCTAGCTTAAGGCTTGTTAACATGAAACTAATGTATCACCTGCAGTTATTAAAAGCAACATGCGCACAAACATCTCTTAATGAACTGAAGGAATTAACATTAACTGTCCAGTGTCTTCCTCCTTTATTTCCAGCCCATTATAGACTAATATGTTTTTGCTAATGTTTTGCAACAACCATTGCATAGCAACCTTTTACAGCTTTCAAACAGATTCTTTCGAGCACAGATTCTTGTACTGCCTCCTTGTTTCCCAGAGAAAGAACTCTGGACCAGAGAAAGACTTTGGAAGAAGAAAGAAGCATACATATTTGTTACATTTTGCTCTCCTCTTTTACAGCAAAAAGCATCTCCTTGTGAAATTCTACCTACCTTCATTCAAAGTTGAAAAAATGATTTAATTCTGAAAAAGCAGGACATTTAAAAATTTTAATTCCATTCATAACAAACACAGCAAGAGAAGATAAGATTTTGTATTTTGAAGACCCTGAAGGACATGATGATCAGAAAGAATTTTAAGTGTAAGCAGTTCTTTGTATACCTTTTACCTATGGGTCCAGCATTCTAAAATTTTATTTACTTATTAGTAAATAAGTAGAAATAGTAAATATTTACTTATAAGTACATAAGTAGAAAGAATTTAAAACTGTGCACTTACACACCATTACTGTGTTTTTTTTTCCCAGTCATATTAGTAGTGAAAATACTAAAAAGAGAACAATAACCTAGTAAAAAGAAATACACCATTCACCATATTCTGAAGTAATACAGTGCAATTATTTAGAGTGTCAGTCAATCTACATTAAACTATATAACTGATTAAATAATGTGTATTAGATTTTATCTTCCAATTCAGGGAAAAAATACAAAATGTAAGGCTAAAGCTTTCCTTAGTTGCAAATAAACACATCTTAGTGACAACCAGCTAATAATTTTCAAACTTTATGTAGAGAAATAACTAAAAACTGTAAATGAAAACCAAAATTGGAGCAGTTCATCACACCAAAGTTCTTGCTTGCAGACCAGCTGTGATTAAAACTGGCAATTTATACAACATTGATTTTAACTAAAATGCTTTGCCATCACTGGGATACCATCTTTATCTAGGACAGCTCTTTCCATACTGTTATGTACATCACACCAAAGACCAGCAGACTCTTTCTGCACAGCAGTGTCCTGTCTGCTCAGACAGTTGCGGCTCTCACCGAGTCTTGACTGCCCCTTGCTTACGTACATGCTCTTTTTTTGGCCTTGACCAATGAATCTTCTTTTTGCTCATAGCCATGAGGAAAGCTGTGGTGAAGATGATTGCGTTTGACCATATCATCCCTTTTGGCGTCTTATTAGCTTTGTCATTTTAATCTTTGTTAGCTTTGTCTTTTTATCTCATCAGATGTAAACCTGACTGCCCTCAGTGTCAGTCTGATCTTGCCCAAACTCCCTCATTTACTCTCGACATACAGAATCCCAGTTCCTACCTCATCAGTCCATTATAACCAGCTTTGGCCCATGACAAACCAAGTTTTGAAGCACACACTTTTCATCGCTTTTCCTCTGCTGTCCCTCAGGCTTTGTGAACATTCGCTGACTGTCCTCCCTCAAACTCCCCTCTGCTGTGATGCCAAAGCTGACAATTTTTAGGCTGCCAGCATTGTGCTTGTTATCCTGGTCTGGTCTCCTCTTGTTTTTCAGCACCTAACCACAGTGTTCTCTCTTTTACTGCAAATCCATTGGAACTTTTTTGTGGTTTTCTGCATTTATGTAAGCCACCACAATAAATTCCTGGTATATTATACATAAGTACTGTAGTAATACGAATAACTAACAACAGCAACAGTGGCTTGATCGTGAAGCAGTGACAGGGATGGTCTGATGTCTGTAAATGGCTCAAGATACAATTATGTTGTAATTGTACCTCCCTAACATGATTCTGCTTGAATATAGACCCTTGGTCTTCATGCCTGCTCTTTCTTTTGCATCTTTTGTCAAAGCACAGAGGCCTCTGAATCAGTTCAGACCCATCTATTTGTTCAAGCCAACCCCCCAGGTACCTCAGTACCAGCTGCAATGCATTTTTATTGCTGTTGTTTTTCTTAATGCAAACATCTGTTCATCGGGAACTGACCTTTTAAGAAAAGTACAAAGTACTCGGTATACAACTGCTCTTGTGGGGACTCATCGAGTCTCAAAGACTTTCAGAGAGATGCCAGTGTACCATACGCACTGGAAAATCAGATGACTTATTTTGTAGGCTAAATGTGGAACCTTTTGCAAACTCTGGGCCAAACGGACCTATAAAGATCCTGGGCATAGTTTCAGAAGCCGTACATGACTGGGTTGTATAACACAGAATTTTTTCTTTACTTTCGTGAACTCCTAAGGAACTGAAGGCCGAGGCTTTTCTACCCCAGGATTTTGTCATACAGTACTGGAATTTTGTTTCTACAGCTAAATCAGTGCCATGAAGCTATCTCATGGAAAACCAGTAGTGCTGCAGCACAAGCAATAATCTACTTCAACTGCACAACACCCTCCTCCTGGAAGATGAGCACAAGATGAGCACAACTCAGCAGAATAACACTATGTAAAATGGAAGTTGGAAATAACGTATGATTTGTTGTCTTTTGCAGGATGCAAAATGAAACTCAGTAAGAGTTTTGAGAACCATGAGTTTCCTTTCCAGCCTATGCAGAGAGCTGTGTTTTGATTAATCAAAACCCAGAAGGCTGTCATTCAGAAACATGGGACACAGGGCAAGACAAGGTGTCTTTTGTCTCTTTTTTGGACTCATTGACTGTGCTGATGCAGGTGGTCAACTCATACAAATCCTCTCATAAACTTCAGATTTAACCAGCTCCATTTTTTGTTCCTGCTACTGCTACTAAAATTCTGCTCAAGAAAAGACCCATTCTAATTGTTAGAAAGCTCCTTTAATTTCCAGTCTAAATGTATCTCAGGCCAGTGTTTATTCCTTTCTACTCGTGCCAGCATTGTCCTTTAGCCCTGCTCTCTCCTGGCTCCGTACCAACTTGTTACATTCATCAAACACACCCAGGCTCTCTCAGGCTCCGTTTTGCTAGGCTGAACAAGAACAGCTGCCTCACGATGCTTCTCGCAGCTCTCTCTGCAGTCTTGCATTCATTTTTCTTGAAGACGGATGAGCAGATCTGTATGTCTGCAGACTTCCAGATCTTTCTTATTCTATGATTTCAACAGCACCATGTGCAAGAGGTCTTGTAACAGAGACAGTGTAGAAAACAGGAGAGGGGAGAAGGGGACAGATGTAACATCTGACCTAAAGCAACCATGTTCAGATATTTTGCATTGGTTCCAAGATAAAAAAGGAAAAAAAAAAACCCAATAGTGACTGTCATTTTAAATTGCTAACTGTCCGACTTTTGCATAAAAAGTAAAATGTTGAATCAAGAGAGAATACCTACACCACCTTCACTGTCAGCTGCACACTTTTACCATTTCTTGGTCTATGGGAGAAAGTG